CCCGGCCCGCCGCCGTCGCGCACTGCCCCGGTATTGACAGCGTCGTCGCGTCGCGACCTCCTGGGCCCCGGCGAGGTCCCCCGCGGGGCCCGGGGCGCCCGGGGCCGGGGGAGTCCGAAAAAGGGTAATGAGAGGAGCGGCAAAAGAAAAGGTGCTGGGCTCTCGAGGAGGTCGTCATGTGTTCTTCGGACCCACCTCAGCCTCGGCACACCTCGAGAGAGCGCGGCGGCTGTTGTTGTTTACGCACGGCTAGACGCCTAGGCGGGCGGGGCGGACCTACAGCGGGCCTACGTCGCGAGCAGCACGTAACGCTGCGCCATTAGGCGGCGGAAGGGCCCAACGGCACCGCAACAGGAGTAGGCGAGCTGAGCAGCGGGGTGGTGAGAACTCCTGCACGTGTTTGAACCTGAGGCGGCCCAGAGGGTGTTGGGGCAGTACGGGACACCGGCAGTTTGGGCTGTCCAGGCCGGCCGGTCCGGCCGGCTCACAAGGGTAAAGGGGCAGGTGGCAGGGCTAAGAAGTAAGTTGCGTAAACGAGTTGAACGGGACGGCCGGCGGCGTGGCGAGGCGAGCGTCTCGAGGGGAGGACAGCGGCGGCAGCTGGCTGGCCTGCTCACCGAGGGGGTTGGAGGGAGAACTGAGGGGAGGGTCCTTGGACTTTCGTCCTTAGGGGGAGCGTGGAAGGGCGAGGGCGAGACAGAAGGGAGGGAGGGGGTGGGGTGCTTTTGACTGGAAGAGAGGTTGCGTTCGATTCGCCCAGTCATTAAATCGTGAGTGGCATGCCCTGAGGACGCGCACATCAGGCCGAGTGCCAGTCACTCCAACAACTGCCTGCAGAGCACGTCCAGGTCCAAGTAAACAACTCTTTCCTTTTCGTGCTCCTCCATACTTCCAGCTGTGGACGTCTGCCTCGGTCGGATGACACATGTGCGTTGTTGGTACGGCACATGCCTGCAGTACAGCCTTGCATCGCGCGCGCGCACACACACACACGCACACATACACACACAGATAGGCTCTTCGAGGTGAGGTGAGGCGGTCTGACCTCGGTCAAACTGAACGGGGCCGCGACACGCCCCGCCCGGCCGGCTCGCCGCTGTGCTGCGCCGTGCTGCGCGCTGCACACAGCCAGACCGTCAGGCGGGTCGGGCCGGGCTGCGCTCAGCGCGCTGAGCTGCACGGTTTCACAACGACGGGCCCCACCGCCGGTGCGCCGCTGCTGCGCCGCTGCCGAGGTGGCGCCGATGTCCTTCAAGTGTCTCAGCACCAACCAGTCAAGTCGAGGTTCTTCGCTCCGACTTGGTCGGCCTCCTACGGCCGGGACAGCCTCTCCCCTCCCTCCCTCGCCACGGCCTGGAGGAGCGTCCCGCGCGGCGGGGCACGGGCTCACGGCGCGGGCCTCGACCTCGCCGCCGCGCGCGGGTCGGGTTCAGTCCGTCACGACGGGGTCCTCTGCCCGGCGCAACGGGACTGGCGGGAAGGGGACGGGTGAAAAGGGTGCCCGTGCCAAGGTTCCAAGTCATGCGACGACATGACGTCGGCGGCGCCCCCGCGGCCCACTTCCGCGTCGAGCACCAAGTCGCGGGGCCCTTCACCAGGCGGGTGGAGGAGGTGGGAGGACTCCAGGGCCACCCTGCCTGAGCCGCGAAGAGCCGGGCCCTCCCTCTGGCCAAGGGACGTGGAGGCCGGCCCGGCCCGCCGGTGGGGCAGGTGGTGTTGCTCAAACCACTGACAGGTTGTCAAGGCCGCCGCCGAGGCTGGCCCGCCCCGCTCGCCTCTGCAAGAGGGCTGCCTGCCCGGCTGCCGCGGGGCCCCCGAGCCAGAGGGGCTCGCGGCCCCAGCCCGCCC